TCAAGTCTATACAAAAAAGTGGCAATTATTTGTAATTATGTTATATATTTATAATACTGATAGATTTTGATTGTTCATGTAATTGTCTCCACTTCTATTGTTATTTCTGTAAGTTACCAATTTAATTCACCTTGACAGTAATGTAAAGTCTACCAAACAAGAGACTGAACACATTATTGCCTGCTTTTAATTTTTCATACCATCACAAAATGTGGAAAGAGAGAACACACTTGTATGTATGGAGAATGAATATCCTTTGCCTGGTCAACTGTAAATAAATACACTACAGTTATTTCTGTGATTAAAAGATACCACAAAATTATTAACACAAATTGTAATATTTTTTATCAGTTTCCATTGTAATCCTTCCTACATTCTTTTCTTCCCACACTGCCATTCATCATTACACTTGCTACTTGTTCGCTACAACCACAAAAATGACATCAAGAATCCAGAAACTCCACCCAGCTGCCAAGAACAGGCAACCTGAAGCAAGCATATTTTCACTTCAGTTTACATGTTATAGAGGACACACAGTAGCATAGTTGGTTGAGGCTGCAAGGTCGCAGGTTTTATTTCCAATGAAGACATTGGATTTTTCAGTTCACCTAATCCTTCCAGGCGCAATATGGCTCTGGGGTCGACTCAGCCTCTAATAGAAATGAGTACCAATAATCCTCCTGGGGATAAAGGGCGGCCGGTGAGTAAGGCTGACAATCTCACGGTAATCTGTGAGCCAATTGTCTATGAAATGTGGAAGCCTCAATATCACACAACCCTATGAGCCTCTACAGCCTGTTACAGGGACAGCTTTTACTTTTACCTACATGAAATAAGATTTTAAAAACAACTGATTTCTGAAGAGTTGAGTACAGCAGAATAGAAACCTGTTTCCAGTCAATGAGCAGCATGATCAATCAAGGAATTGTAGGTCCTAAGGTTCTCACAGCATCGATTATGAAGAGTTTTATCACCTACTGAAAGTCAACTGAAGTTTGGTTGGAACAAGTAGCCTCTATCTTCAGGGTTGATGAATGAGCCAAACAAGAAACCAACATGAAGCAAGTAGCAAGATTATGGCTGGTTTCTATGTTGTATAAGGGGTGGGCCTTCTTGGCCCTTGCACTGCAACCACAGTGATCTATTTATTCTTTGACCCTGAAAATGGAGGTGAAATATTCCCCCAGAGTGTCTGTTGACTTTCAACGGATTACGTGGTGTTCATCCCAGATTTAGGCCCAATGTCATGTTTTACTTCTGCATAATTCTGACTCTTGTGGTTTATGCCAAAATGTAGGAACAGCTTCAAAATATATTATGTGGCTAATTTCTGAAGGCTGAACTTACAAATTTGGTAAAGGACATGAAAATCTAAGGACAAAAATATTGCATTACAATACTATTTGTTCCTGGGTCTCTTCTGTGATGAGAGTGGGATTCAATCCTGTTGGGAGTATGCATACTGTTCTACACAAACAATTTCTGTTTTACTCCTGAAGTATCTGGAAATAGTATTACATACCGTATTTACGCATGTATAGGCCGCAAATTTTTGCCAAAAATTCAAGAGGAAAACTGGGGTGCGGCTTATATTTGAAATATTCGAAATCACACTTCATTTTAAAAAAATTATATTCATAATTAGTAATACAGGGTGTAATACTCCTGAAATAATATTCCAAGAAAATTATTTTTTCTATAATTTCTGTCTGAAAATTGTGCTGCGGCCTATACATGCGTAAATACGGTATATATGTATAGAAGATCTTTATCATAGCAGACTTGTACACCAAGTTATGCCTCAATTCACTTACCCTAGTTTGAACAGCAGTGACTTGACTAGTTGTATGCTTGACTGCTGCCAAGTATATCCTATGAATGGCTTCTTCTTGTCAAATTACACGAATATATTTGGATTGTGATGATTTGAAATTATTTCTGTCTGCCACATGCAAATAGTGAGATGATATATGATATCAAAATTACCAATGGCATAGAGACATTGCAGTTTCAGTTAACACATGTCTACCATGAACTCCATTTTGGTTCAGGCATAAGTCATTACTGAACCAATCAGTTCTTTCTGGAAGGTAAGTTTAATGTCAGAGCTTATTGGCCATAGCTCCATGGGTATCATCTTTTCAATAATAACTGTCCATGTCATCTACCACTGAAGATGACACATGTATTTTACATTGTCCTCAATGGAAATTTCTGCTGGATAATGCATCTGTTTGATAAGCAATGACATCCTAATGTGAATAAGGCTTTGGTCATCAACACAATAATTAGCATGAGGCCATCAGTGCATCAACCTTTTCTGAACTACTTACTAATGACACACATAAAATGCAGAATTTCATTCCAGATATAGCTGTGACTGTTAATTGTGTAAGCTGTAACTGTATGTACTGTCCCAGCATGTGTAAGATACAGAAAGTAAATTAAAAAACTTGTTATTTCCTTCCCTGACCTTAAAACTCAAACATTTAATGCAAGTTTCCAAATATCTTCTATAACCTGTTAGAATGTACAATATTGCAGAACTACAGACAAATCTGTAGGTGATTTAAGTGGTATTTCTGGAGTCCTGAATACATTTCTTTAGAAATATGTCATTCATTCACATTACCACAGTTCCAAAAATAAAAACCCAAAACAGAATTTTATGAATGAGTAACCTGAAACTGTCTTTGAATCTGTTAACACAAGGTAAATTACAAAGAACAGAAATATTTTCATTATTCAAATATAACACTAACTAAATAATTAAAAAGCAACAGACTGTAATATGTTTACTTATTTACAACACAGATATATTACACATTATCATGCATAAGTATGCCATGACTTACATATTTTAATTTATGTGAATTTTTCTTTAACACATAAATTTGCTGTTTTCATATAGAAAAGTGAATTTCGGATGTGGGAACATCCCACATACTAACACTCCTCTGCTACCAGACAGCTAACGTAGATGCCGCAACACTCCAGCAACCTCACTCTGCGACCAGGCAGCTAATGTAATTGCCGCAACTCTCCAGCAACCTCGCTCTGTGACCAGGCAGCTAACGCAGCTGCCGCAACCCTCCAGCCCACACCGTAGGCAGCTGTTCCTACCAGCGCACGCAGCACCACATCACCGGCCGGACAAACCAGCTGAATGGCTGTAAAGACTTGGTCTACTACAAAGGAGCAAATTCTGCCAGCACACTCACAGCGGAACAAACTGCCCTTTTCAGGGCCAGCCAACTTTTGAACACTGACATTCCACATAGCTTCGCAGCTATTCTGTACATTCAATTTATACAATTTAATATATACAATTGTTACAGTTTTACGTAGTTGTCTTTTAGAACATCGACAATCCCACAAGGAAAACTATGCTGTAAACAACATCTATTTACAACATTATTGCTACTGGCAAAAGAATTCTGAATCATGGAACTGCTCTCAAGAACGTAACCATCTTGTTAGTCAAGGAATACCTGTATTATATAAGACTGAATGCATATTTTATTAGTATTGTATTGACTATATTTGTTATATAACTTAACAGATTAGTAACAGTAATAATAATAATAATTCCTGACACCATTAGCAATAAAACAATATTCAAATGGTTTCTATATAATATAATAAATTAACATTATCACATTACAACCAAACACATATTGCTCAAAATTAAAACAATGATGTGTACTTCTTTTAGGAAGCAACTGTTACATTATGAAATACAATGAATTGATTCATTCATTCATCAGTAATCTGTCAGACGACAGGTCCACAGTCTCTTCCAAAACAGTTCCTCCACTTAATGCGATCTCAAGCTTTCTCCTTCAATTAAAATATCTTCTTCGGTCTTCTTCCTCATCTTTTGGCCACTTCTATCTGCCCCTCCGGTTTGTTTGTCTCCAGAGGAAACAATGAATTATAAAATTATTATAATATGAAAGTTATGGAATAAAATATGGTTAAAAACTCTTCATGTGATATTGCATATCATGAAGTCAGTTGCTGCAATCTTCTTATATTGCCGTGGACATAGCGGTATATTCAAGACTTATATACCTATAGTACACTGCTTGGAGGCATGTGGTATAGGTATAGTACAGTATTATTTGACAATAATGTGGAAATGTGACAATAATAGCTGTTAAATTTATTGTGATTAACTACGGACTTGGTATCGATAATATAGTTGTACTGTTTACTCTCTGTTTGGCTGGTGCCTCATTTTACAATGTAGTTTGTCCGCCCTGTTGGGAATACAGATTGCGACTGATTTGGTGAGGTATGTTATTTGTGAAGTCGGTGCAAGAGGGGGAAGGAGAGGTAGAGATAGGGTGTGTGAGGATGTGGTGGGAGGGGAAATATAAATGTTGTTTATGTTTGGTATGCACTGACTATTATATCATATATAGGGTTAAAAATTTCAGTAAAATTATCGCTCAGTTGTATAATTTGTTTGCTGACTTCATAAATATGAAATCTTTCCTAAGTATCCACTGTTCAGCCTTTCTTGCCAATATATAAAATTTCCAATGTTTTGTCCATCATGCTGTATTCGTGCGTGGTGTCCAATATTGATTGATTGATCAGTAACTGTCAGATGACAGGTCCACAGTCTCTTCCAAAACAGTTCCTCCACTTAATGTGATCTTCTGTTTTTGGAAAGAGACTATCCAGGAAAAGTGATAATGTGGTAGTTTTTCCATTTGCTTTCCACATCGCAGTACAACAGCCGTTCAAACCACTCTGGTCACGCCTGTTGCTATACGAACTTGAACCATCTCGAGCATCATTTGTTCTGTGCTTCAAGTCGCTGCTGATGACGCTGCTTCCGGCATCAGTTTTTGGTTTTTGGTGTCTCTCTTCGTCTGATGCCTACCCTTTGACCTGTCCAGCAAGGGAGGCCCTGCCAGTAGCTACGCTACCGCTGGTATAGCTCTCAGGGTCCTTGGCATACTCAAACCCCCTCACCACGATAAGGTGGAGACACCAACGAGGGGTTGAGCAAATATGGCTTTAAAAGCTGAAACATGTAGCTAAGGTAATGTTAACATTGACCATTATTTTGTTGTGTTACGACACACTCCAATAATGAATTGTACATAATAACATAACAGGATGCATGAAATGAAAATTATGGGATCACCTTGCTGTCTGGGTATCCCACCCCCCATCAACTTCTGAAGGCCTGAACCAATCTTTATGAAACTTGGTATGTATATCATGGTACCTGAGCACATCCAAAAGCATACTTCATAAAGCTCTCTTTACCAGTCTGTGTTTGTATCGCTGGTAGGAAACAGCTCAGCAGACATGTTCCCATGGCAATGAATATACACAACAATAGAACTGTTAGAGACGTCATTTTCCATATGGTCTGTGTTGTATCAGAAGTGTCTGTGGGGCTGTCTGTCTCACCCTATCATGGCTGGGCAGTGGCTTGGCAAGCAAGGCAACAAAGAAATGTTTGAGGCATCGTTTACTATTGTGTCATATAAACCCACTGCTAAGAGGTGACTCTGTTAACAAGTGTTTCCAGGAAATGGCTCGGAAAACATGTTCCCATGGCAATGAATATGCACGCAACAATAGTTACTGTTGGAAATGGGGTGTTTCTGCATAGTCTGTGCCGTGATGTTATAAGAACTTCTTGTTCTTTATTAAGTTTAAAGAAATGACCTGTTCCTTCAGTAGCTGACTGCCACAGTAAACCCATACATGCATTCTTGTACTTCATGGAATTATGCTGGAATCACAGAAATTAGGAACTCTGAAAATATGACATCTGCATAACATACTACCTACTACACTGTGACTACCAGTGAGACTAATAAAATCTGCAAATTTATTCATATATAATTTTTGTAGATCTATAATTATGAAGTAAATTCATTTTATATGTTACAAATACATGTAAATAATGATTTTTTTGCCATTAAATTCATCATATTTAAGAAACGAAGATAAATATGAAATGATCACCTTTGCCACACTGCAATAACATATGCAGAACATTTACTTTCCTTATTATATTCGGAACAGCCTGCAATGTTAAAGCTTTAGTCGAAAAAAATACTCTGCAAAACAGACAACAAGATCAAGGCACAGATGGCAAGAAAAAGCGTGCTTCTTTATAACATTACTGACACTTGGGGTTCCGTAAAACACTTGGGAATTTCTTCACCAGTCGAACAACTGTCAACTTTACGTGCAGTGAGAGTGAACTCACGAGAATTGCACTGTACACTGTGCGTACCTTTATCATGACAAATGATGTGTACCAACTTTAAGTTATCAGTTGTAAACAGAAGTCTATAAAAGTAAATGGCATTGATGGCACAGCTGTTATTTGAAGCCAGCTTTGCTGCTTCCAACAAAGCAGGCACAATGCTCCGTGACCTCTCCACTACATGATCAAAATTCCATGTTGAGAACACAATTCTGGCTTCTCTGCTTTCATATGGATTAATCATGTGCTGATTAGCCCCTTTATATTTACAATGAGGCAAATCCCAGCGGCCTCTGCACTGAAAACCACCCACATCATCACACAGTCTGTCTGACATGGCGCTGCGATCAAAATACCCATTAAAATATTTGTGAGCCTTCAGTTGGAGGTTCATTTTCTGAAAAGCCTCTGTCAGTTTCTTCTGACACATCTTATCATTCCTGTAGGTTTCAGACTTCTTAACATCATCTTGAGTTTTGTACATGTAACCTCGTATCCTTTCTTGTGAACGCCTAGCCATGAATTCTTCTTTGGTGGATGCTCTCGACTCTATGCCTTCAAACCAGGCTGGATCATCTAATTTCCTGCTCAGTGTCACATTTTGTATCTGAGAAGATCTGTTAACTAACTTTGCAAGGTTCTGAACCTTTTCTTTCACATTTTGAGTGAAGAATTTCTGAACTTCATTGCCAGCTCTGAGAAAGTCCAAGTTCACAGCCTGAAGTGCATTGTACAAAATATCAGCTCCAGTGTAAGCACTTTCACCAGGTTTAAGAAGAAGGAACACAGTCTGTGAGGGCAAAGTCTGAAAATAATCCTCATCATCTACATAAGTTCCATCCAGCATCTGTATTTGGACATTCTTTTCAATATTTAACTTGCAACTTCCCTTCACTCTTAGTTCATCCAAAGTCTGACAGGCAACACCTACTGTACGATTACGTTTTGCATCTGAAACCTTATAACCTTTCATGGTCACTTGTTTCATATGTTACAATACACAGAATGTACCATTAAAGTGTTGTACAGTCCTATATTCAACATGAAACCTCTTGACACATTATACCTAATGGTGTACATTCCATTCTAAATCAACTAGAATTATTCCAGTGGATAGACAAAGTTCCTCGTTCAGTTCACTTCATGCATGCTAACACTTAAAATGATTACTGATGTTAAAATTAAAATACAGCAAAACCAGCATTCAAGATTTCTTTAGGGAGCACTGGATTAGAACAGTGAACTGTGGAAAATGTTAAATGGGGGAAATTTAACACTAAAGATTACTGAATTAGGTTGTTTAAAACTGAACATTAAACTAACGAACACTAAATGGAGGTCATTCAAGAGTTTCATTCACTGTAACAAAATTTAGCAAAATCCATGAAATAAAATAATTTTTAATTCACTGATTTAATAACCATTCATACTGTTGCTTATACTGTGATCTAGCATTATTTTCTAAGTCCCATTAATGTAGATGCAAATAGTTCAAGATACTGTTGCACCTCTAAACACATGTAATCATTAAATGAAGAGTCAGATGAATAAAAAGACTATGAATTATTTTCAGACACAATTATCAACACTATAAGTGAACACCTTAATTTGGCAAATTGTTTATCTTGATATATGTTTATAGGTGCTATCGCATCAGATGGCCAAATTAATTTGTCATAAGACACAGAAATTCTACTTATAAATATGCATGTTACACAGCACTACAAGTTCAACTTAGCACAAATATCTTACTTCCAGTCTTGCTGCCATGTTATCTCATCTGCTGATAATTTCTCTCCCTCCATATTTTCTGAAAAGAAGTTAAGGCAGTGAGCTGTTTAATGAATCGATCAATTGGAAAATATATTTGGTGCAAAGAGATGGAGGAATGACTGTAAACAGTGAGCTAGGATAGGAACAGAAGCAGTCAGAGCATAAGACCCCATTTTGGCATTCCATGCTGGGAATGAAGGTACATTAAATGGTCCCTTGAAGATGAAAGCACTTACTCATTAAGAGTTCCTATTATTCAGTAGATTATTTTAATGAAGAATTCTTGATTATTGGCTACTGATAAGCAGATGCATAGACTATGTTATATTTATAACCATTAATGTATTTAGATAGTTGTATAACACATAGTGACATGACCTTCATCAATGTATTTGTTCTACTAGAAAATGACATAAGAACCACAAATCCAACAATACTGAAACAGACTGTACAGCATAAACCAACACCGAGACGTTAAAAACTATGGAATGAATATGCGAAATCGGAACAGGCATGATATTCGGGAGGTGTCCCAACAACTTGCCATTCACTTGAAACTGGTAAGGTTAGGAACCGTTTCAAGACTATTCCAAGATACCACCAGTGAAACATACCTTAGTTTTCGCTGCTCAGTTCCTCAAATGCATATGTCATTGAAATTACATAAAATTCAGTGTTACTATAAGCCCCATATTCTGAATGTTCTGAATACTGCACCATATCAACCATATCAACAGCATACTTTCCTGCCTTGATAACGCTGACGTGCCGCTGAATCGGGTTCGTTCGGGATTCGGGATTACGCATACGTGGGTTTGTATTTTAGGTAAATAAATTTGTTGGAAACTGCTTGTATCGATTTTTCGTAATGCTATGAAATATAATTATTTTCGAACGTATTTACGACCTGGGAAGCATAATTATTTGGCGATTAGCTGCAAAAGAATAACAAAATGTGGGAATGTTCAAGAGAAAGAATAAATTGAAAATTAAATGGAACGTGACACATAGACGCTGATAGACCTCATAGCCGCGTGGTGTGCCGGTGTTTATACCGAAGGCTGTGAAACTGCTCAAAATTCCTTTGTGGCGATTTCCTGTGTATATTAAAGGAAAGACTGAGTGTCAGTTGCTGTAAGGTAACATATTAATAATTAAAACACGCAGTTGCAGGTTGTAACCAAAGTAGAAATTTGTTGAATTTTGTTACCACATCACATAACCTCATTGTTAGTAACTTTCACAATGTATGTATGCGGTAAAGATAAAGTTGCCCCTGTGCTTAACTAATTAAGCACTACGCCATGAAGGCGTAAAGGGCAGTGGGTGTATAGATCCACAGTATTATATTGTAGCGTCCAGTGACACTTTTCACTTAGCGTCTATTATGCACAGTCTTATGTGCAACACCACGTCCAACAAAACTTGTTAACTTTAAAAGTTCACCACATGATCCAGCCAATATGGCCATCATCAAGTGTTAAAATCTTGATGAGGAAACTGCTGTCTTCTTTTATTAATATATATGCAGGCCCCTTCACACATGTTACAGACACAAGCACATCAAAGGGACCAGCATATTTAAAAACAGAAGATAGCAGTTTACTAATTAAAAAGATCTTAACACCTGATGATGACCATATTGGCCAAAACATGCCGTGAACTTTTAAAGTTAATAAGTTTTGTGGGACGTGGTGTTGCACATAAAACTGAATAATAGACGCTAAGTATACATCCACATTTTCTTGACATCGGCAGTAGCTGGTGGTGAGTGGTCAGCTTCATGCCTATGCTGCTCTAGCTCCAGTACACATTGGGTAGGAGGTTTGGTGGGCCCCAGAGCCAGTCTGAATGACGTGGAGAAGAGAAAATTCTTGACCCCTGCTAGGACTCGAACTTCAGCCCCTCAGTCATCCAGCCCATAGCTAGTCACTGTACTGACTGCACTGTCCCAGCTCCTAATGTATGTAATACAAGTCTAGTCTCTGCAGTAATGTGTTTAATGAGTCATCAAACTTGCTTGTTCATTGGAGAGCTGATGGCAATTGGATCTTGTCTTCGCCTATGATTTGTCGGTTAAATTCTAGCATACAGACCTGTGGACCCATTCAGAAGATACTGCCAGTGTGCAGCCTCTTTTGTAATGTTTGGATTTTCTTTTCTCTTAAATAATGCAAATTGGAGGTTAGATTTTGAGTTATGTTTTTAAACATGAACTCCTAAAATTTGCAGGTAAAGGGGGATAATTTGTGTTTCCAGTGTTTCTGAAAACTAGAATTTCACTGAAGAAAGCAGTCCTCTTGGATTTGGCACCGTGTATATGTGGTGTTAACCGACGTTTCGGAGGAACGTATCGCCTCCATCTTCAGGGTAGAAGAAAAAATATAAGAAATCTGCAAGCGAAGAGACCGTGAGAACTGGTACTCACGGTCTCTTCGCTTGCGGATTTCTTATATTTTTTCTTCTACCCTGAAGATGGAGGTGACACGTTCCTCTGAAACGTCGGTTAACACCACATATACACGGTGCCAAATCCCAGAAGACTGCTTTCTTCATAGTCACCGCCGTGAAAGCCTCAAATCTTACATAGAATTTCACTGTTTGTCAAATGTGAGCAGCATTTCAGCTGGTTGGTTTTAATGTGAGAGATATTTAACTACAAAATAATTCTTCCAGAAAGTAGATGATGTAAAAATAAGGTTCCACATACTCTGTAACCTTGGTATTATGTTGATTGTTGAAAAATTATCACTCTCTGTGTCTTTAAAATTAAATGCCAATATATTAAGCTCTAGAACAGTATTTCTGATGTTACATCAACAGTTTCAATTAAAAGCATTGTGGCAGGATAATCATCTTGCCTTCTGTAGGCACAGAAGGAAATCCTAAATCCAACATTTTTTATTGAAATATCTCTTTTGACTTTGATAGATAATTTTAGAACTGTGAATTGTATAATAGTGTAAATGATATGTTATTAGTGCATTGCTGTTAAATTCCACTGCTGATTTCAAGTGAACTCACAAATGAAGCTTACCACATTTAAATCTGTCACATAGTTGGAGCAAACTTAAAACTGTTGGAAAACGATGTTTGAAAAATGCTGCATCCCATATACACATATATGCAATTTTCATCACTGAAAGTGAATAATATTTTTTTAGATTGTTTCATAAAAGAAGACGAGAATGAAGGACAGAAGTCTGGCTATGCTGAGCTAGACTTTACGTAGTGATTTTTCAGGAAGAACAGCCCTGTGATTCCAAATCACAGTTTCTGGTTTATAAGCAGATTACTACTAAAGTTTCTGCAGCTTTAGGAATTGCAATGGGATGACAAGTCCTATAATGCCTAAAACTGGGTAATGTCTGACATGGTGGCCAGTTGCATCGGGGTCATTCTGTGTCAAGTAATGGAATGGATTGTGCATTTGTGTCTCTGATGTTAGTGGCATTTTGTACTGTAGTAATTGAGCATGTCATGAATCACCAACCCAGTCTCAACTCTACATGAATAGAGTATTTTTGGGAATAAAAGATTGTTGGTACTTGATATGTAAGGTACATGGAATATTTATATGTTAAAAATTTATGATAGAATTAAATAATATCTATTGACTTGAATGTTGTGCTGCTGCATCATGCTGCACGGCTCTTGTTTTCACTTCTTATTTTGCTGTCTCACATGAAACTTGTGTTAAATCTTAAAATTCACTTTGAATTTTAAATCACCGGTTTGCTACATATTTTGACCGGTATGAAACAAGGAAAATCACAGAACTTAAAAAAAATAGCTTTTAGTACTTGAAACACAGTGCAGAACGTAATGGAACCTCATTTACAAATAGGTATATACTGTCACATTTATATGTGTGACTATAGATGGGCTTGTGGGTTGGATATTGACCACTTACACACATGACTCAGAATTATTAGTAATTACAGCACCATCGCTTATCTCCACAATTTACAAATCATTACAGCACCTGATAAGTCTTTTCCAGCATTTTGTGTCTTCACTAGCAGTTCCCTGATAACAGTTTCTGAGAGTGGAGATTCTTCAGCTTCTACATGAAAGTTCTCTCTTCACAGCCTCCCTTACAGAACTGCCTTGGTGCCCCAGTTTTCTTCCATGTAACTCCTCAGCATGGCCTGTGCAGACAACACTCTTGCCCTGTTGCATGCATATTGCCATGGGAACATGTTTACTGAGATGTTCCCTAGGGATGGCCATCTGTCCTTGCTTATTAAGAATCTGCTGCCTAGCAATGGACGCCTTTCTGTTGTCTGTTTCTTGTCCATTGTCACCCCCCATCTTCAAGGTAAAGAGGAACATCAGGCTGTCTCCAGACTACTTGGCATTAAAACCCAGAATTGGAACGAAGTGATTTTGGTCTAATTAAAGTTCTCTCCTAACATCTGCCTGGAGGGAATTAATAAAACAAAAACTTCAGTCAGGATAGTTGGTGTCAAAGCCGAGGTTCTACCGAAGCAGCTCCTCAGTATGAATCCAGAGTTCTACTACCATGCCAACTCACTTGGCAGTAATGCGTGGTTGCTTGTAAATAATTATTTATTGAATGTTTCATATTCATGATAATTCTGTTGGTTCCACATCTCCACAATATGAAGTTACTGTTTTCATTGATATCAGGAGCATGTCCTGGAAGCTGATTTTGCCCTAATTCTGTACAGGGCTATTACTTCCATAGTGCACTGTTGTACAAAACTTAGAGTGAGTGTGTTTTACAGGTGGTACAATGGTGACCCGTCTTACATTTCTTCTGTTATTAACCGAAACTGCAATCATTGGATATGGACAGGACACAAATCCAGAGAAAAGAGAACCGAAAGATGCAGTTCATGCGGCCAAACTTCCTCCATGCCAAGCCTGTAAAGTCTTTGTGGATTCCTTCAAGAAGGTAAGATTAATTTTTTACATTATTCTAGTTCTTTGGGTTTTGCAGCTGAAGGTCTGATGTGAAATTTTGGCTTTAAGGGTTTAGCCACATTGTCCATTGAAGGTCTTTCAATGTTGCAGCTTCTGCTGCAGCCACCATCTTCAGAGTGAGTGTGAGTGTGTCACTCAGCCTGAAGATGGCAACTGCAATGTACACTGAATTGTTAGAACATCTTAACCCTTCAACATGGAATGCTGAGCACTGTTCATCAAGATGTAATCATCATGTGTCTTGGAGTGCTGAGTGGTACTTGCATAATGCACTCGCTGACTTCTCTTTGTATCTAGGAAATATACGTGAAGCTATTACAGTTTGCTTTCAGCAACCTTGTAGACAAAGCTGCAAGTTTGAGAGCAGTATGTATTATTGACTTCTTAGATTGTTTTCTACCGTTTTATCCATGTTAATAGGAGGTGATATATCAGTCTTGGCTCCATTCATACTGTTTAGTGGCTCTCTGGGTGCAATATGCACAAAGTATTGCAGTTTTGACCTCAGCAATGTAGATGACATTGTGGGCTTCCATAAGATACATGTCATTAACCCATGTGATGGATTTTTACTGTTGTCTTTTCTCCATATTTATGAGGTGACTTAGCGATCTTCTGTTCATGCACACTGTTTCCCATGGCACCATCTGTTGATTGTGCAGGAAGTATTAATGTTTTGACTTTGATAGTTCTGTAGCAGATAGTCCAGTCTTTGAAATGACATAAACAGGATGGATGTATGTTTTCTTTGTGTTTCCCTAGCATAGGAGTAAAGAGATTTGTATTACTCAACATTCTGCTGTGATCATGGTGTCGGCAAGAAGAGTGCGTTTGCCAGGTGATGAGGCTGAGAAAATTCTGGATGAAAAATCGTCTGATAGTGAAAATAGTTTAATTCTGATGACGAGTTTAGTGCAATTGAAGATTACCTATTCAGCAGGGAGCACGCGGTAGTGTAGTTGGTTGAGGCACTATGCTACAAGCTGGCAGGTCATGGGTTCAATTCCCAGTGAGGTTACTGAATTTTTCAATTGACCTAATCCTTCCAGCTGCACTATGGCCTTGGGGTCAACGTAGCCTCTAACAGAAATGAGTACCAGGAATCTTTCTGGGGGTAAAGGGTTTCCTGCGTGTAAGGCTGACGACCTTGTTCCATCTATGAGCTGACTGTCAAGAGAAAATGTGGGATCCTTGATGCCTCACAACCCTATGGGCCTCCACAGCCTGTTATGGGGATAGCTTTACCTTTTACCTTACCAATTCAGGAAGCAATTAAAATATAAATGAGAATGGTATATAAAAATATTCAGAAGATTACTCAGTACTACAGTTCTCAACTGCATGATTATCTGCAGAGCAAATTCACAAGGGAAACAACTGGCCACTTGAAGTTCAGAACTCATGTGGTTCAGGCTCTACTTGTACAACATGGAGGTGGTGTTGAAAGAAAAGTGCCAGGGTGACATTCCATGGACAATACGTTGCCTGGACTTGTTGAAAGACATTTTCCAGAGAGGATTCCTCCAATTGAAAGGAAGCCAAGGCCATTAGAGGGGTGCATGATGTGTTATAAGAAAAATGAGAGGAAGGATGCAGTGTTTCGGTGCCCTGATTGTGAGGCTGGTCTTGTGTGTTCAAGTCTACTTCACGCTCGGCTTGTGAGGTAAAATGTATTGAAACTCTCACAACTTAAGTATGTAATGAATATTCTGTGAAAGTGTTATTAAAAATCCTCCAATTACTGGGGAAGTAATGCTGCTTTGAGAAAGAATTAGCGCCATAGAGCAGAAATTAAAATCTTCAGGCTGGAAATCCTCCAACAGCACAGCAGTAACTTGGTATGTAAATGCCACCACAATGAAGGGAACATACAATATGGCTGAACCCTGTAATCAGTTTTTTTATAGTGGTTGAATTTGGCATTCCAAGTCATTGGAAATGGTTTTTGTAATTGATTAGATATGTGTGTGTGTGTGTGTTTATAGGGGATGGAGAGAACAGCACGTGGGAAATTTGAAGGTGGTGATGCAGCATGGGAGGAAGAACGTCTTGGTAGCTACTCTCGCAGTGAAGTTCGTCTTGTAGAGATTCAAGAGAAGCTGTGTACCGATGTGGAAAGGGGAAAGGATCAAGTGAGTATGATAACAGATGTTTTGCCAAAATATATGATACTTCGAGGTCTGGCGATACAGTTCCTGGACAGGCATGAAAAAATAAATAAAAATACAAGTAAATCAACATTTGTTTTGAAGAAAGCAGTCTTCTGGGATGTGGCACTGTGTAGATGTGGTGTTAACTGATATTTCGGAGGAACGTATCGCCTCCACCTTCAGGGTAGAAGGAAAAATAAGAAATCTGCAAGCAAAGAGACCGTGAGAACCGGTGCAAGCAGACTGGTCTGCTTACAACATTTGATTTATTTACATTCAAAGAAACCACCACCTCAAGGAACAGCATTCAGTTTGGCCAGCACATTTTTCTTAATGTTTTAAGCATCCTGAAACCATTTTCCTGTGTGACAGTTTTCACCTTAGAAAGGAGAAAAATGTAATCAAGAGAATTGGGATTGTCCTGACAAGTCTGGGTGAAGTCTTGTCATGATCTGCGAGTCTGTGTGGGATGAACTTTGTGCAGATCTCCCTCTTCTGTAAATCTTCATGGAGGTCTTGACATATGTTCTCCTCATTGATGTTTAATTGATCTGCCATCATTCTGAGACCCAATCAATGATCTTGTGTCACCATATCACGGACATTTTTGATCGTGTCTGCATTTCAAGAGGTTGAAGGACGTCCACTTCTTGGATTATCCTGAAGATCCTTACACCCACCTTTAAATTGTTTAAACCACTCAGATACACACCTATGTATGACTTAAGGCTCCATCACCATAGACATTTCTCAACATTTCCTAAGTTTCTGTTAGCGTTTTACGCAGTTTAAAACGAAATTTGATATTTGCTTGTTGCTTCATGGCTAAAAAAGTGACAGCAGTTAAAAACACAATTGAGTGAACTGCTACTCATGAACTGTCAGTGATTGATGTTTCTGACCTCTGCCAATTCTTGCAAGAAGCAGAACTACACTTAGTTTGCAGTAGTTTGTTTCATTAACACATAATATGAATGCTTTGACACCAGTCCAGGAACTTTGTGTCTTGGAAAATATGAAAGGAAATATTTTAAGTACAGTATAATCTATTACTGGTAATTCTTTTAAGGTGCCAGTTCATAGATTGATGATGATTAAATATGTTTTTATTTATTATGATAACATTATTTCTTCTGGAGCGTAGCGTATGAAATAAATTACACTTCATATTAGAGTTCTCAGTGCATATTTTTAGAGTTGGAGTAGTCTAACTGCTGACACTGTCAGTTCATGTGATTTTAGACATAACTGTCTTATATTCCAAGGTGGCAGTTATGGACCACTTCCTACCTCTGCTCCATGTAAGAAAAGAAATTTTGTTCAGTGTTGTGAATTGACTGGAATATGTAATGTATATAAAGCACTTCTTTTAGTTTGTTGCAGAGGGACGCGACACTTAGTGGTGGTAAGGAAATGTGTAAAGATGCATGAAAGGAAGCAGATAATATTGTGACGGTAAGCACACACCTCAGTAGTGAACTGCACTGTGAGATATGCAGTATATACTGTTTCAGTGCCATGCATTGTCTGAACAGCTGGAGCAACATATTGATGAGTGGTGGTTTCAGAAACAAGATGAAGATCTCTTCAAGTATCTGTGCATTGACACATTGAAGCGATGTTGCCCGGACAATCACTATGGTGCCAACTGCAACCCTTGTCCTGGTTTCCCAAACAATGTGTGCAACAAAAGTGGCAAATGTAAGGTAGGCTGTTGCCCATGAAAACTATGTATTGCATGGCATGTACTAATGTCACATGCACAAAACTTCAATCAATTTAAATGCGAACTATTTGTGAGGACAGCCTCGACTTATCTTACTAATTTTTATAAAACTGAAACTATCCCAGTACATGTACAATTACCACCAAGTCTTATCTTTGTTTTGCTTCCCTTCCATAGTACTGAAGGCTTGAAGTTTTGACATAACAGCAACAGTGGAGTAGATCACAGTGACACAAGTTTTTTCCTATCCCATTTTCTGTGATCAGCATAATTATCTCATCCATGGCATTTATGACAGAGTTTCCTTGCATGTCCAGTTCATTTTATTATTCATAATCATTTGTGCCTGTATTTTTTTATTGCTAGTGGGGTGGGACTAAGTCCCTTGTACTGCGGCCACTTCTGGCCTATTGTACCAGCCCCAGATGATAGGTGAGGGTGATTGTGGAGCAATTGGTGGAATGAAGATTGGCACGGGAAACTGAAGTACTCGGAGAAAACCCACCCCAGCGCCACTCTGTCCACCACAAATCCCACTTGACCAGATCCAGGATCGAACCTGGGCCACCACGGTGGGAAGCCAGCGACTAACCGCTTGAGCTATGGCACCACATTTGTGTGTGTAAAATTCAATGTAATTCAGAAAACATTTTTAAGTACTGCAAGAATTAGCAAGAGTGGGAAGGCATCCATACCATCCCATCTTGTCTCTCTAAGATCCATTTTAATATTGTCCACCCACCTATGTATTGGTCTTCCTAGTGGTCTCTTTGTTTCTCCCTTTCCTACCAATATCCTGTATGCATTCCTCTTCAACCCCCATTCGTGCTACATGCCCTGCCCAGCTCATCCTCCTTGACTCTAGCATTCTAATTATACTTAGAGGAGAGTACAAGTTATGAAGCTTGAGTTTTCACCTAGTACAGATTATTTACCTCTGATTCTGACAGTTGCGTTCTTCCCATTCAGTCAAATTTACATAAGGGTGGATCTGTGCAAACAAAGGAACGCAAGAAGATATCTGGTGTAAAACAAGATGTGATTACCTAATTGAAGCCAAATGGTTAAATACATTTTGAACCTCAGCCATGTTTGTCCATGTCTGGTAACTCCTTTTTGATCTTGAGTCTCCTGTTGTCTGTTTCCTATATAATTTTTAGCTTACTTACCTTATTTCAAAAAAATAAAAGTAGGCTTATGAGATTACCTTGCTGTCTGTGTGTGTATTCCTCCCCTGTTAACTTTTGAATGGCCGAACTACTCTTTATAAAACTTGGTATGTATACCATGGCACCCATCTCAGTGGTGTAATTCATAAATCACTCATCAGTAATACCAACATAACAGCTTCTCAAATTTCTGAGGCAGAACCTTAATATTTCTTGACTGCCTGTACCGTTCTTCATGGAACTTGGTGTATCATGCCACATGAAGCCATCTCAGTCTCATACTTCATGAATGCATTTGCTCAGTAATACCAGCATTACAGCCTCCAAAATTGTTGCAGTAATAACTGTTATGTTACTTAAATATCTGAACCCAATGTCTTGGAACTTGGTACATATATCATGCCACCTGAGCCCATTTCAACGGGCATAAATCATCAGTCCTTTCCATCAGTAATACCAACTTCACAGAATTTCATATTGCTGAGGCAAAACCTTAATATTGCCTGAACACATACCAATAATCTATATGAAACTTTGTATGTATACCATGCCACATGAAGTCATTTCAGTGGCATACTTTGTAAATCTCCTCTCATTTTGTTGTGGTAAAACTGTATTGTTAATTAAATGACTGAACCAGTCATCAGGGAACACGGTACATATATCATAACGCTTGAGCCTATTTCAGTGGCCTGTATCATAAATCTCTCTCGTCAGTAATACCAACACTATAGTAGTTAAGGTAATACCCTTAATACTACTTGAATGCCTGAACTGATCGTCATGAGACTTGGTATGTATGTCATGCAGTCTCAGTGGCATACTTGAGAAATCCCTCTCATCAGTAGTACCAACACTGCAGCCTCTCAAGCTATTCAGGTAATACCCTTATTATTACTTGAATTCCCAAACCAGTCACCATGAAACTTGGTATGTATGTGTCATGCCATCTGAGGTCATCTCAGCTTGGAACACATAATATCCTTTCTGTTAGTAATACAAACACCGCAGCCTCTCAGATTACCGAGGTAATAGCCTTAATATTGCATGAATGGCCAAACCAGTCCTCATGATACTTTGTACACATATCATACCATCCAAGGACATCTCAATAGTGTGCTTCATAAATCATTCCCATCACTGATACCAACATTGCAGCCTTCCAAATTGTATTCTTTTATTGACTTCATTATGCATACATACTGAAGTTTTCTTTCCATATGCCGTATCAGATACTAAAATTACAGAGAAAGGTAAGTAGATGATTAGTTCTCTCCAGCGCTTCTCATTAATCTCTAGATGCAAAGTACTTGCTAACACTGAATATTACTGGAGTATTCTTCATTTAAAGAATACACTCAGTGCTTTCAAAGCTGGCAGAGAAATAATGTTGTTGTTCAGTAATCCAGCTGTCAGGTATTCTGATATAAGTATATCCTGTTCTGCCCTCTGCCTGATCTGTACTTATTGTGCAAGAGCTAAGTCTTGTGAGATCAGTATCTAGGATGGCCATGAGCATGGACAGTTATTCGATATGTTCTAAAGAAGTTTATGGGAAACAGAAATTTGTCATGTATTCAGTGTTTGCATAACTTACAAAATGGGTTTTGCATTCGATGATCAAATTTATTGGACCTTTATTCTAGTCCCGATGAGGTGGATTTTCTCAGTTGACCTAATCCTTCCAGCTGCATTATGGCCCTGGGGTAGACTGGGCCTCTAACAGAAATGAATACCAGAATGTTCCTGAGAGGTTAATGGCGGCCGGTGCATAAGGCTGACAACCTTACCATCATCCGTGAGCCAATTATATAAAGAAAATGTGGCAGTCTCCAAGTCTCACAACCCTATGGGCCTCCATAGCTTGTTACAGGGATAAATTTAGCTTTTTTTTTTTTTTTTTTGTAACATTTTGACTGAACGCACTTGACTTCTGACCACACTACAGCAATCCACTCTTCCACTGCTCCTGGAGCCAGAGTCACTGTTATATAACCTTGGGGCGAATTCCACAGATAACATGTCCATTGCCTAGCAGTGGACGTGTACAGTTGATGCTTATTGTTGTAGGCACAGCCTAGCAGTGGGTCTACACATCACATTATGTTGTGGGCCTCGTGCCCCCCTTTTTCATTTGAATTGTCTTCAAAGTAGTGAGGTAGAATATGCATATACAGGGATGTAGTGGTCTCCATGTATGAACGTGTTGCTTGTGTGAAGGCATTACACACCAAAATGATGCTGTATTTTGCTTTGGTCAGATCTAAGCTTTGTTCTTCTGTTGCATAGAACTCTGTCACAATGACTCCAATAAACATGTGTGTGTGTATGAAGAAAATCTGCAGCACTTTAGTACAATAGTTTTTCAGAGTATTCAAAATCACTATGACACCTTATTGTAAAAATTAAATTTCAGACATTATATTTCAGGCTTCATCACTCAGGTACTTTTTCTTTAATGAATGTTTACTGTGGCACAAAATGTTGCCTGTCAGTTCTAGAAACATTCAGTATTCTTGTTCCTGCTCAGAGCATACATGTGACCTCTCCATGTTCACGTGCTCCTGTAGCCACTGGCTTTCAGCTAGATATGACTGGGCTTTTAATGTAGTTTGTAAATCAATAAACATTTTTAGAAATTTGTGTTTAAACTTAGGTAATTGATTTGGCCCTTGTGGTATTTGTTTGTTTGTTTTGTCCTTGTAGTTTTTGGCCCTTGTGCTATTTGTTTGTTTGTTTTGTCCTTGTAGTTTTTGCTGTTGTAGTTGTTTTGTATTTGGTATGTCTCTGTAATAACCNAGTCTGTTGAGTTCAGCTTGTAAATAAATAAACAAAGAGTGAATCATTGGTATCATCACCACCATTTGTTTGCTTGTTTGTTTGTGAAGGGAGCAGGTACAAGAAAGGGAAATGGTAAATGCAGTTGCGACCCAGGATATGAAGGAGATTTCTGCAATTCTTGTGCTGCCACCTACTATGAATCATATCGAGATGAGGAGAAACTGCTCTGCTCTCCTTGTCATACATCTTGCCAAGGACCCTGCACTCAGCCTGGCCCCAAAGGTTTGTTCGTTCAAAGTTCTGTGATTTTGAAAATAGAAAGAAGACTCAACTGTAGCCCTTTCGACGCGCGTGCAGTAAGTCTTATAGAAGCGAGTCCATGTCAGTTTAAGCTAATTATCTACTCTCTGCTTTAGAATAGCCATCCTATTTGTACTCCTCCCCTTGTATTAACTGTGAAATATACCCTAAACAAGTCACTGAATGCGAAACACTAGTTTACTCATTAATCTTTGGCTGATTACAAGAACATGTTCATCATTAACACAGTGAAAATAACTTCTTTACACTTTTCATACCATTCTTCAATTTGTGTGAAAGCAATTCAAGTAGTAGAATAAGAATTGTCTCTCCTTTTATGAAGGTTTTTGAAATGTGACACTTGATAGCTTTGTTTAGCAGTAACATTACAGAGGAATTATCCTGTACCTTTGTGGCATAACAGTGCCCAGTTCAAAGGTAACATTGTGCAGTATATCTCACTGAAAACAGTCAAAAGGGATAGCAATTGCATCATTGTTAGTTAGAGTAACAGTATTATGTAAGCGGCCTCCGTAGTCTAGACGTAACATTCTCACCTCATGACTCGTGGTACGCGGGTTCAAATACCCGGTGGAGGTCGTCGAATTTTTAAGGGCAGAAAAATTCAGGGAACAAGTCCTCCGGGAGGAACTTTAAGCTGTGTGTCCCGTGTCGTAACTTTACGGCACGTAAAAGAACCTCATATCCCCAAAGGGGATCACTGAGCCAAATTCCAGGATGTTTCCCGCCCAACAATAGCCTCTAAGGCCTCATAGATTGGGGAAGCATTATAGACACCGCTAAGCAAGTGGCCGAACTCGCTTGCTCGGCAGGACTGATGGTATGCACCATTTATCGGTAGGGTAAAGAGACTGGTAGAATATCATAGAGGGAAGCACAATAGATCAAACTGGTCGCGGTGCATGGGGAAACCCACCCTCTCTAAATAACTAACTAACTAACAGCATTATGTATACTGCCTCACAGTCTGAAATGATTTTGTCCATAAATCCCTGAGAAACTTAAGTGTGTAACAATCACTGCTGTTGTGTACTTGTGAGGTCTGTGGCTCTGTCTGTTTTCATTTACTTGTTCCAGATCAGTGTACCATAACAACTGTATTCTTAATCTGTAACATTTCAAAGTCCTTCATTCTGCTCACATTGCCCCTGTTTGCAGAAGCCTTGCAACAACAATTTGGGCCATTAAAGTAAGCTATTTAATTTCTGATTAACCCCCATCACCTGAAAGGGAAATCTGCTTCCTTTGATATATACTTTTGTCAGCCAAACAGGAATTGAAAGTCCTGTTACATGATAATTTTTAAATCCTTTTAACTTGTAAGAACAGAGTTCTTTATCTCGATGTATATCTAAAATGCTCTCTGGGCATCAAAGAATGTCAGAGATGTATTAGGATCATATTAATGTTTCTCTTTCACAGTTTTCTTACATTTCCACTTCCATTGCTGGTGTCACCCAACTTCCTTAACCACACACGTGGAAAATACAGAAAGGAAAAAGGCCAAACTTTGCAAGATGTTGCTGGTAAAACAGCGATGTGTAGACTGAGGTAGGCTGTTACATAACACGTGTGGGTTAGAGGCTGAGACACTGTGTGAAGCTTGTGAGGATGCAGCTTTGGAAGATTTTTGGAGAAAACTGCGACAGTATGTTACTGGGAAACCAGTTGTATGGGAAACTGCAAATAGAAAATTCACAGATATGGAAGTACTTTTTTTTTATTGCTAGTGGGGTGGGACTAAGTCCCTTGTACTGCATCCACTTCTGGCCTATTGTACCAGCCCCAGATGATAGGTGAGGGTGATTGTGGAGCAATTGGTGGAATGAAGATTGGCAGGGGAAGCCGAAGTACTCAGAGAAAACCTACCCAGCACCGCTTTGTCCACCACAAACCCCACTTGACCAGACCCGGGGTCGAACCCGGGCCACCATGGTGGGAAGCCAGCGACTAACCGCTTGAGCTATGGTGTGGCCTGTGGAGGGACTTACACACTAGCACAGATGGGTTTTGATACGTGAAGTACTGGACTGTGAGTGACTGAAGAGGGACAGGATGGGCTACAAACATTGTCAGAACACAGTGAACGATCAGCTTTGTCACTACATTACATCTGAGTGGAATGCCCCCATAATTCACTGAATAGGATGTTGGGTTGGTCCAGAAATTTTGTGGGTCTGACATTTCCGTAAAGCATCAGAACATCTGTACTGAAGTGAAAGAGTCTTAGCTAAGAAATCCATACCTGTGAGATCTGAGGCTTTCATAGCAGAACCTGTGAAGATGGTTGTCTTCTTACCAATATTTTGGAAAAGTGTTCTGCCACCATCTTCAGGGTATGAAGATGAGGCAGAATGTTCTGCCAAAACATCACTGATGGTCTGCAAGACTCCACAGTGTCACATTCCAGAAAATAATAACCTTGAGAGTGACAGCCGTCTGCTTTCTGTTGCAGGTTGTGCAGCGTGCAGTCCTGGCTGGTTCATGGATACAGAGAAGGGATGTCTAGATGTAAACGAGTGCTTGCTAAATCCAAGCCCCTGCAAGAGAAATGAATTCTGTGTCAACAATGATGGTTCCTACACTTGTTTAGGTAAAGTTTGTTCTGCTCTTCAGTACTCACATGCATAATATTTAAAAGTTGTACAGATTTCAGACACTCTGGGGTGCCATAGGTGTAAGAGTTCCATACATGTAGAACGCAGTGTACATTATTAGACTGACTGTAACCTTTGGAGCCAGGTCAGTTAAACTTATCTCCTGTTAATTAATGGAGTAGCGTAATCTGATGACGGTTCAGTTGTCTAGTTCTGTTGCCTCAACACACAAGAAGCTTTTGTGGAGGGTACAGTTATCCTTCTGGTGTCGGGGTAGCATTGTCGGTATAGTGCCTGGCTACTGGCTGGATGCCTGAGTGGTCAGAGTTTGAGTCCCGGTAGGGTCAAGAATTTTGTCTTCTCCAAATCGTCCAGACCGGCTCTGGGGTTCACCCAACCTCCTATCCAATTGGTACCAGGGTGGCTCTTTCCCCGGGGGTAAAATGGCAGGGGCATGAAGCTGACCACTCACCTCCGCCCAGTGCAGAGGTCAAGAAAATGGGGATCTATAAATCCACTCCCCTATACGCTTTCATGGCATAGTGCTTAATTCATCGAGCACAGGGACTTTACCTTTTACCTCACAGTTATCCTTCTGAGAGCCAGATACATTATAACTTCTGTGGCCGACGTGTCACGTTTCTCAGTAAGTTGTAGTGCTTTTTTGGAACATGCTAACCTGGTCAGTGAAGAAAAGTAAACACAGCTGAAAACATGGATTTTCGAACAGTTCCTTGAAGAGAACAGGACACTTTTCTTGTGAATGAAAATCGGAGCATAACCCATTGAAAATGTCTAGTATACTCTTTCATATAAGTCCCAGTGATAAAACGCACAGTGCCTACATATAATAATTCAGCATATTCAAGACCAGCAGATGCATAGATTCTTTGGTCCTTGTGGTGAAGAGTATAAATGGAAAACCACTTACACATCTCAATGGCAGAGCTTCCTGCGTTGAAAGGAAGGCAGTCCAGAGCTGACTGCAGGCAGCTGTATATAATATGCACACCACAGCCAGCACTTAGCATTTCTTTATGTAGCTCAGGCTGCAGCCCTGCAAACCCAACCAGAGTTTGTGTTTGTATTACCTGCACAGAGACCAGGAGTCTGAACATGTTCTCCGGCAGAGTTCAAATGTTTCATCTGGCAGTATTGATTTTTGTGTAGGGTAGAAAATGGCAAACTAAGATGGGGAAGAGTTCTGCAGTATTCTTATTCAGAGAATGCATTGCGTGACAGGAGAAGGGACCACTGACATACTGGCCTGGGAATGCATTGTTTCATTGTCATCAAACTTATGGAACCACTGTTGAGGGCAGAACACTCTACCATGGCAATTGGTGCAGTTTGTCAAACTATATTTGGAATTCTAGAGATGAAAGACAAGTGCTTGTGGAAACCATGAAAACCATGTAGGCCATGCAGAGGTTATCAGTGATTGGAGAATAGAACATGCATATTTTATTAAAATAGAGAATTACTGATAAAATCAAATCATAACAAGTTAGACATACCTTAACAAACAAGAATAATTCCTTATCTGACAGAAATGTATGTATTAAACAAATTACATCAAGACTGCCAGATTGTATACACATAGCAGATGAAAATGATGCAAAAGTGGCACCAAAATGAAGCATATGTATTTCCTGTACTTCTGCCTTCCACTTGAATCCTTTTAAAGAAATTATGTATCACCATCAGACGTCTCCAGTTAAAGACCACGACGTTTCAGAGACAGATCCAGTCTCCGAAACGTCGTGGTCTTTTGTCTTTTACATACCAGATGATGGATGAAGTCCAAAATAAACCAGAAGAAGTACAGTATACACCATCGTCAGAATCCTTTCAAGTCTAACTTACAGTGATGTCAAGTTATTTTGAAGGTTCTTGTATTGCACATGTAATGAATTCAGCACATTTCATACACATACAAGGCACTAAGCACAGTGCATTCCCAACAGCTGATCTCGTTCTGAGTGGTAAAAGGTGAAGTTTTTCCTCTGTTTAATTAGCACTTTGCATGCACTGTAACGGCCACACTGGCCTAGAGTACCAGCATTAAAACCACAACATCTGAAGATACCAGCTTCTATTAATCAGTTAATATAGGATTTATATCAGCAGGTGGCATCAAATATGATATACTGATTTGTAGAGGAAGGGCTGGCCTTTCACTTGAGAACAGTTTTATGGACTTGTTTGTGCAATTGCACTTACAACCATCAGTGTTCACATGTTTACCAAGTAGTTCTGTGGCAGAGCTTGGCAGTCAGGACATTACATTGCACACCATAGAGACGTATGGGGGAGTGGAAGCTTGGCTCTACACATTCTTAACCTTGGTATTAGATAGATTAATGCCCTGGTCACTTTATCTCCAGGGAAAGAGCCCCCAGTACCCATTGGATAGGAGGCTGGCTGGGCCCTCGTCAGTCTGGACACTATGCAGAAAAGAAAAGTCCCTTCTCCATGCCAGGAATTGAACCCCGAGTCTTCATTCGGTCATCCAGTAGCCTGTCCTTTGGAAATTGTTATTTTTTTTTTATTTAAATTGCAGAATGAAAATGGATGAACTGTCATAAACAAGTAAATAAAATTTGGTATGGTAAGATGTTGTAGAAACATTATAGAATTTGTGTATAAAGCTTTCATTGACTGTTGTTGGGACAGACTTCACAGATTAAGTCTCTTAAAGAAACAGATAACCAATATTCGCAAAATTGGGTCTTGCATAATGTACCTGTATAGAATTAGACGCAGACAAAAATATTTTATTTGACATCTGGTTACACACTAGACAAGTTGTATCATACATACTGGACATATCATAGCCATCGGGAATCTAAAAGGAGTGTGCCTCATTGCAGTGTGTGACAGGGCCTGTGAGAGCTGTCAGAGTGATGGTCCAGACATGTGCGACAAATGTGCTGAGGGTTATACACTAAAGGATAACGTGTGTGTGGGTACGTACACATATTGTACTGTCTGTCATGCCACATACTTACTGTACATGATATTGAACTGCTCATTAATATGATAATGTTCATGTTTCAGATGTGCATGAACATGGTCGCAAGTCCCACGTGAACATGACACGTTATCTCACATATGCAGGCTTATGCATTGCCACCTGCATAATTTTGCAGAAAAATACTTTAGCAGCAAGCCTTGTAGGTTTGTCTGTAGCCCTGTACATTTCATTATCTGAATATTTTCTTAGCTCTTCAGAAAATAATTCTGACTTACAATCTGCATTTGATATAGGCAAACTGCTTAGTACATAATAGAGATATATAGGTGATAATTTATAAAACAAAAATTTTACTTTTTAATGTATTTCTGTGTATATAAAGTATAAGTTATGTCTGAGCAAATGAAGCTATTTTTAAATTTCATGCCATAGATTTTTCTCAGTTTGTAATTTAGCAATGATTGTCCAGGAAGAGGGGATATTAAATCTTCTGGTTGTCATATTTTAATACAGGTGTAATGATGAGGGCATTGAACGAATGCGAGTGACAGTCAGCTCGTCTCTGCATCTGGACTAGTGCACAGTAATAATGGCTGTTAATGGAGGATTTAACTTATTGATAATTCACCTCTTCTCATTCTTTCATCCACAGTTTGTGTGGGTTCCTTGTGCTTTCAGTAGAGGCTATATTAATGAGGGTTTTGTGTATACTACTTTGATCCAAGTGATATGGAAAAAGCTGATCTAGTAATTAAAATTAATAGAAATATGAAGAGCTTGGGGGAGGGGGGATTTAATAGAATATACTGTGACTCTAGATGGGGTTTGGATTGGTAATTGGATTTATTGAACTACAAGTGACTGTTGTGCTATCACTAATTCACACACTAAGTCTTCTGAGTCTGCTGTCTTCACCAGTCATTTGGTAATGGCTTCCAGTGCCATAGGTCCCTCACCTTCTGTGTTCCACATGCTCACTGGCTGGCGACTCTCTCCCAACTACTAAGTCACTCACCGACCACTCACTTCGCTCCACTGCACTAGCTAACTGAACTCAGTCTGTTGAATGATATAGCCTTGGAGCCTTTCCATAGAAAACACTGCTTCCAACAGTACTTCCATTGTTGCGTGTGGGCTGCTGTCTAGCAATGGCCGTTGTCTAGTTGTTTGCCTTGCGGTCATTGCCAAGCAACAGGTCTAGATGCCATAGTATTATATATGTAGGAATTAGGTTAACCGTCAACACAACAAATATATTCACTTTTAATGTTATACAATTCGACTTTTTATCCTGCTACGTGTGTTGGTCATACGAGACCATCATCAGGCAGTTATATGTAGGAATATGTTTAGTTACTGAACTGCCGATATGGATCCATACCCGAGCAACGGGTCGTATTATATACTTACTCATGGAGCTGAGCCCTTCCGGAGGAGCCACCAATTTTGCAGCTACTCAAGAATTTACCAGCATTTTATGGAACCTGAAGGTTCACTACCATGTTCACAAGAGCCCTCCACTGGTCCCTATCCTGAGCCAGATCAATCCAATCCATACCATCCCACCCTATCTGTCTAAGATCCGTTTTAATATTGTTCACCCACCTACGCTTTGGTCTTGCCAGTGGTCACTTTCCTTTCGGCTTTCCCACCGATATCCTATATACATTCCTCATCTCCACCATTCGTGCTACATGCCCTGCCCACCTCATCCTCCTTGACTTGACCATTCTAATCATATTATATACTAACAAAATTTGCTTCAAGTTGGTGTTATGATTAAAATAGAAGGTACAAAATAAGATAAAAGATAAAATATAAGAAAATGAAATACATACTATATATCAAGATATATAAAATGTTTAATTATGGGACTACTGAAAATATTAAAAATAATTAAAAATGTTTTAAAAAATATTTCAAAGTATTTAGTATGGGAGGTTAAGAAATATGTATGCCAACTTAATACTAAGGCTCGAATGCTACAGTGTAGAAGTGGGAATGTAGGTCTTATTGTTAGAAGCTTTCTGCGTAGTAAGCCCAGTTGTGGAGCCCAGAGACAAGTGTCTGTGATGTACAGGTTGTTAATGTGTGGTATGTTAGGTGTGCATATTTCATGATATGTATCGTTATATGATCATAAAATATGGTGCAGCATTTTGTCTGGGCATATATATGTTTACTGTAGACTGATTCTGTTGTTATTAGTATTATGTCGGTTTAGCTATATCATACAGCTGTGTTATTTCGTTCCTTACTCTTCAAAACTTGATTCTCTGTTTCAATACATTGTTTCACTATTTGCACATAGTTACCCAGAGTTTGGGAAAGTCTCCTCCTTACTCTTCTTTATTGGTCTTGCCATATCATGGCTTTTCCTTTCAGTTTCGTAGTAGCTGTTTCAGTATTCTGACTGAAGTACTGTGTGTGTAATTAATATTAGTGATTCAAAATTAGCAAATGTGTCACTATTTTGATATCAAAGCCTTTGTGAGAATGGATATATATAGGCTCATGCCAGATATGTTGATATTATATAACTGTCAGGAAACCTTGAAAACAAGTGATTTGTGTTAAGAAATATGACTCCTTTTGCATCTGAGAGAGTTGCGCATTACGAGTATTTTTTGCAGTGTCATTATCCTTACGTTTCTCCTTTCTCCATGCGACTGACCAATTTCATGTCATGTTATGTGGAATACTACTTGTAGAGGGAAACATTACCATAAACATACCTTCTCTCTCAAGATCAATTTACTTTGCACTTGTGGGGCAATCACAAAATTATGTACGTGGCCAAATGTGCATAATTTTTTGTTAAATATTGTATAGACTTTTTGACCATTGTGATGAAAGTATAAAACAGGCAGATTTTTCGGAACCCTGTGCAGCCTTGATGTAACTTGTGTCGTTGCTTGTTTAGAAATAACGGACTGACTGTAGAAAGGATCATAGTGTTTATAATACTTTGTATCAGTGTCATCATGCATGAATATAACGAGTTCTGGAGATATGCTACGCTGTTAAAGTAGGTAAAGGAGTTCATATTCAGCTTTAATAGACGACTTAGGATAATGGTACAATTACACAAATTAATCTTGCAGTATTTTGTACATATAGGTTTAAATCAACCATTTATGTTTTTTTAATGCAAACTTTGGTTCAAAATAAATTTGTGGATAATGACGGCTACTCCCTGAAATTGGCCAGTAAATGTTTTATTGTCATCACTGTCATTTTTGTCATGAAGTAGTAGAAGTCATCGTCATCTCTGTTCTCATGTGTTTGTGTGTTTAACTACAGCTGTGAGATTCAACATCTTTCTATAATGAAGATTGCTCTCTCCTGGGATGTTGCCATTAGTCTGGTAGGTACTAACGCTTCAGAGGAATGTGCTGCCCCCAGAATATTGGTAGCAGTCTGCCAGACTACATGGGGTCAGATCCTAGAAGCCATTAACATCAGCTACAAATGAATTGGCCAAGATTCATAGTGTATAAAATAGAATGAAATACCTTTATAGTGTCTGCAATTTGCACATGGCTTTCGACCTTCCATATGTATACGTTTTGATAACAAAATTGTGCAGGCAGCGAGCAGAAGTCATAAAAAAGCATGAGAATGAACATGTTCACAGTATGGGACAAGGTGAAGCTAGAAATAGAAAATAGAAGAGGCTTAAACTTGGTGGTGGTTAACCTTATGACCGTTCAAGTGACTAAGCTGCCATTGGAGCACAAGCCAAATCAGATAGGCATGTTATGATTTGCAAAGCTGTAACTGACAGAGGACTTGTATATAGTGCAAAAGGAAGAATTTCCAGTAATATGCTTTATATGTAATACATACACTTGACAAAAGCCAGTCATATTCATATGAGACAAACCAATTTTCTCGTCAAAGAAGATGTTACATAAGGACCATGACCACAAGGGTTGAGTTGAAAAAAATCTCCGATCGTGGGCTCCAAGGGGCTTGGTGTCAAGGTGAACTGAGTGGCAGTAAACCGTCAGTCATAAAGTGACTTTGACTTTTGACTTTGATGTGTTTGCTGAGGATGCTGAGGACCGCAGTATCTCAGTGTGATAGGAGGAAAAAAACGTAAATATTAAGTGATTAATTTTCTATTATGATTTGTTAAACATTCATTAAATTAATGCCATGCCATATTAGTATAGTTAGCGCCTCGTGACTTTAGCCGCCCAGAAAGGTAAACACTGTCGTGGAGCACGCGAAGCTGTACGCTTGCTGTGGTGACGTTCAGAGCTACCCCCTACGCGGAAAACATTGCCTACGGAGACCAGGAATAGTGCTATACACCTGCCCACACTTCAAGACACTACATTCCACACTGGTAGTACCCACGCTGATGTCAGCTGATATGACTGCTCCCCCAGCCCCACGAGAGATGGTATGACCCCTCTACCATGGCTAGAGTTCTGAGGAACTAACAGCAACTGTTCATATATAAACCGTTTCATACATAATGTGCACGTATGTCTTTTTGACTGTTGCGATACCAAATTTCATGGGGCCAGCTTAGTGTTCAGTAGTTATTGTCATCAACTGAAAGCCAAAGAAAATTTTTATATGGCCATCATATTGGTATTTTACATTCTACAAGAATATTATCTTAAAGAAGGCTGCATATTTTCCCTGAAGATCTGTTACTATACGCAACGTTTCAGAAACTGGATCTCTTTCCATTTTCAGGTGAGGGGGAGACACCTACTCTGTTGGGTCCCTTAGAAAGAGGTAACCTAAATCTTTTTAAGGGACCCAGCGAAGCAGGTGTGTCCTCCCTCACTGGAGGATGGAAACAGATCCAGTTTCTGAAACATTGTGTTTTCTGGTTGTTTAGAATACTGGAGGATGGATAAGGTCCAAAAACCTAGTAATTCTGAGTGTTATATGCAGCTGCCAGAATCCTTTAGAAACTAAAATTACTTATTAAGTTGCTTAGTCTTACAATTTTCTGATGAGTGTTCATTGATGTCTGTATAAGAATATATATATGTACTGTATGTGTATGGCGTATGTACGAATACGAGTTTAATATTTTATTTGATCTAATTTCTTTGGCAACTTTTTGCACAATTCAAGTATGATGACAGGTTCAGTGCCTATAGGTAATTTCATCCAAACAACCAGTTATGATTAATTTTTTTAAATGTGTTGCGATGGTGGAAAAAATTGTGGGTTTTAAAATTTTGGGTACTTTGCTGTATTTAAAAAATATTTCTTTTAAAGGCATTAGAGTCTAGAAAAAACTAGGCTGGTGTCCACATGTCATCATCATAATGCAGGAAAAAATAACATAAAGGTAGGTAAATTCTTTGAAAATATGGTGAAGTTCAACTGTTCTAGGGCGCTGACATCGCTGGTGTATTCACGATTTTAAATTTAGTGAATGCTTATTACCAT